TGGAACGAGTGGGTCTTCATCCTCTCCACCTGTGGCCATTTCTGCAGTCAGGGGCCTGGCCCAGCCTTGGATCTGTCACTTGCCTGTGAGCACACACAATTACCTTGTTCATTCATTCACACACTTGTGAATCCACACCCACTGCATGTGCCTGGATGCTGGGCTCTGGGCTCCCAGTGAGCTTTCGATGATATGGGGCAGCCATGGGCACTCAACAGCTCGTCTCGTAGATGAGGGGATAGTTAGTGACGGCTGTCAGTCCTCAGTCAAACCCTGACCACGGTGTCCCCAGAGATCAACAGCTGGCTTCTCTCTCGCCATGCTAAAAGGCAGCCTGCGGGTATCAAAGGCTTTTTCCAGACATGGACAATATGTACAGAGCTCTCCCTGTCTGCCCACAAATGCAGCCTAAAGCCTTGGCCTGGGCTCAGGTAGGGTTGGGAGGGGCCTGGCAGGCAGAACCTGGGACAGTGTTGTCCACACCACTCTGGGGCTCTGAGAAGTGGCTCTGGTTCCCTGGCTCCCCACCATCTCCTGGGGACCTCAGACATGCCCAGTGGCAGCCAAAGATGAAAGAGTGCAGCCTCAGTGCCCTGCTGCCTCTGATGGGATCGCCCAGACTCCCTGATCCCCAGCTTCCCCCTCCGAGCTGGAGCAAGAGCAAAGTCCTGTGGCACGTGGTGACTACAATCTGAATGAGGGGACAGACTGTGCTTGGCTGTGGCTTAGGAGCCCAGGAACAAGACCAGAGCAGTGGACACAGCAAGGTGTCTCTCGTAAAGGAGACCTCTAACAGACAGGTGCAGTTCCGTTCAGGGCTAGCACAGATCCACTCGCACCAACAACTCAAGAGTGTCCAGGAGGGATTACTGGGTGCTAGCAACTGACTTGGGCTCAGCTGATCCAGCCAGGTGACTCGCTCAGCCAAGGTCTCGCCTTGATCTGCCTTTGTTAAAATTTGCAAAGAAAGGAGAAGCCCCAACAAATGCACCGATAGACAGCAATCTGCACACGCTGCCTGGATTCATTGAATGCACCTGGGCTGCGTGAGTGGGACACACCATCCGCACCATCTCGGGGTGGGGGTGGAGGTGCCCAGATTTTCTGGCTAAGGAGAGGGTTCCCAGGGCTAGAACTGAAGCAGAATGCTCAGGTACAGACAGCTCAACCTGTCACCAACAAGGAGACATTCAATATAAGACTTTGCAGCCCCTCTGGGTGGTGAGCATGGAGGTGGGTCTGAATAATGTTCACTTGGGCATTCAGGCACGGGTCCCTGGGTGCTGTTAATGGTTTGTGCTCAGCTGATAACCAAAAGTTTAGTAGCATGAATCTAGTAAACCCAGCGGCTCTGTAAAAAAGCCCACGGGGGGGGGAAAAACCCCAGCCAAACGTCTGTAAGATCAGTCACAGAAAACTCCATGGAGCGTACGCAGCTCTGCTCTGAAACACGAGCGGTGGCCACAGTTCAAACGAATGGTAACAGGTTGGGGTGTTCGCCCAGACCACAACTCTCGACAGGTACTGTATAGTGCCGGGCACCCAGCTAGTGCCTCTGGAGACAGGGAGTAGATCAAGACTCTTTCGGAGCTCTGAGAATGGTGACAGCGTGGGACACTCGTGTCCCTGGATGGGGGCTGACCAGGCCAGCTGGGGGTGGATATGGGGAAGATGGCTGCAAGAAAGGTCCTGAGCAGAGAGCTGAGACGCTACAGCAGGATGTGGGTGAGCCCAAGGCTTCCACATTAATGAGAGGTGGGGAAGGGATGTATCCCCGAAGCTCTTGAGCTTCCCCCCAGCAGCTCACCACGGGAGGAGGGTCTCAGGGCGGGCAACTGTGCACCTTCAGAACGGGTGAGCCGTCTACGTGGTGCCACAACTCTAGGCTGGGTCTGCGCTCTGGGTAGACACAGCAGTGGTCAACAGGCCAGAGGGACCAGAGGATGACCAGAGAGCAGGGCAGCTGGCTAGGCCTTCTAAGGCCTGTGACTTCTCTGTGCTGGACCCAAGTTGGCCGCTGAGAGAACAGCATCCCACAGCCTTTGAACACAGCCACTGATTAAATAATTGATGGTATCATGGCCAACACCGTCCTCCCTATCTCCAGCTCTGGCTGCCTGCCCTGCCTAGACTCTAGCACCCATAGCCTGGTTGCCTCCCCAGATCTACCCCAAGACTCCTGTAGACAAAGCTGCAGGACACGCTGACCCCAACAGTCTCTCTGCTTCTCCCAGACCAATCCTTCATGACCATATCCTCCTAGCCGGCCTCTAGGCAACTAGGCAACTGGCTCTGAGGAAACACCACCTTCAGCCTGATCCTGAAGGTCCTCCAAACCTCCAGCCCCAATCCTCTCCCAAGAAATCTCTCTGACAGACAGCAGACACCCAAAGGGGAGCACGAACGAGGAGCATGAACATAACAAAACTATTTTGGGAGTGCAAACCCTGACAATGGCTCCCCAAAGGAACCCTGTCTTCGAGGTGGTTAATGCTCTCAGCTGTAATGTGGTTTGCATCCACCAGCTGCTCTGCAGCTCCCAAAAGCCTGCTCCCCCAAAGATCGACCATCTTGGAGACCCTATGGGGGAGTTCTGTCCTGTCCTACAGGCAGCTATTGGTCAGGAGTGACTCCTCGGCCACAGGTTCAACCCTGCCACGCTCTGGATCTTGTTTACTTTTCTGGATCCTTCTTGAGAAGGTAAAACCCATAGCCCTGGCTGAGCTTTGCTGGCTCTTAGTGTAGCCTTTGGGTGTGGCCCTCAATCAGCTCAAATGAGGCAGGAGGTCAGCTGCTGGGTACTTCCCAGCCCCAGAGCCCTTGCAGGAGCATGTGGCTGACCCAGCCCAAGTCTCCAGGCCCAGGTCCCCACCTCCTGGGAACGCTGGGTGGGGTCACAGGCACGAGGGGGTCGCATTGGCCTCACGAGGCATCAAGGCACAAAAAAGCCTTTTCTTCCTGCAGCCTCACACAGCTCTCCTCAGAGAGCCACTCCCTGGCCTCTGCAGCCCAGCCGGCCACCTCCAGCTGCCTCGGGCTGGATCTCCTTCCAGACAAAGCCAGATTCAGGCCCAAGAGGGCAAAAGGAAGGCTGGAGCTTTGCTTCTGTCATGGAGACGAACTTTGACCCACACAGTGAGGCTCCTACCCCTTATTTACTCTTTAAGGCCCCCCCCCTTCAAGGAGTTAACATTACACCCCTTTTTAACCCTAGACCTCTCTTCTGCATTCCAGGCCCCAACCTCTGACCTCTCCTAATTGCTGGCTTTACACCCCAGTTCTTCCCAGGCCTGGCTCTGGTCTGTCCCCGCCTCCTCCCCGGAAATGGCCATGCTGCTAGGAACACTGTAACCACAGGTGCCACCCCAAGCTGCCCACAACCACATCAAACTGAGGGGGAGCTGACCCCCAAGTGATCTGGTGGGAGCTCTGGAACAGACTCCTGAGAGCCCCAGATCTGACTTCCGATCTCAGAGGCTCTCTCACCCTCAAGAAGGAAGCTCTGTTCCGAGAGGCTACAGGCGGCTGTCTGGCCAGCAGACACCCCACCCTGAATTCCAGGGCCCTGGAGGGTAGAATCCTGCACCACCCATATCTCCCCGCCAGGGGGTGGAGGCACACATGTGGGCAACACTATCTGCCTGTCATTTGGCAGAGGGACAGGGGGGACCCTTACCCTATTGCCTCTCATCTGAGCTTCAGAAACAGCTCTTGTTCTCAGTCCTGGGAAGCCCAGACCCTTCTGGGTCAGACAGATCTGAATCATGCTTACAGCAGAAATCCCTATTCCCCAAGCACCCGAACACGGGCAAACAAATGGGTGTGGCGATCCTGTCCCAGTGAGTTCCATGGCCCTGGGAGGGAAGCTGGGGCGAGAACACGCAGCCCACCCACCTGAGCCCTCTCGGGACTCCCAGGAGTCTGGGCATGCCCTGGAGGCTGGGCATGGCTGCCCTCCCCCCCACAGTGTTCCCAAGGGCCACTCACCATCCTCTTGGCTGTGGAGGTTCTGTGGGCTCCGCATCCTCGTGTCCTGACTGGGACTCAGGCTGGAGGCCAGGTGTGGGTCAGCTGACATCCATGTGGAATCGTTCATATCAAAATCTTCACTGCTCACTGAAGTCTCATCCTGAGCAGGGACAAAGAAGGTGTGCATCAGCAGGGGCAGGTTCCGCAGGGGCCTTTTGGGTGAACTCGAGTCACCCCCTTCCTGCTGAGGGGTGATTGGTGCTTCCCCTGCCCCCCATGGAAGTGGCTCAGGCCTGGTTCCTGTCAGAAGCCTGCAGGGCCGCACTGTCTGTAATTGAAGACAATTAAGAGGTCTCGCATCCTGTCAAGGCGGAGAGCAGGGCCTGGCTCTCACCCTGGTGAGCCAAGGTTGAAGGAGTGCTGTAAACAAGGGCCCAGCTCCTCGTTCACCGCCAGGGACAGGACTGGCTCTGAGGGGGATGGCTGGCAAGAACTGGGTGGCAGGACGTGCTGGGCACCCTCGAGGCCACGCCAACTGCCCCCACAGGGCCTGGGCCCCCACTCCTGTAGAGCATACATAGCATTCCTTTCTCCCACTCCCCTGGCTCAGAGGACATGTCTGTCTTCCTCCTTCCTAACCTTTGCTGTGCTTCAAAGATAGGCTCTTGGGCGGTTTCCAGAGTCAGAAAGTCCAGCCCCAGGAGTGTAGAGGAGGAAGGGGGTGGGGCGGGCGTGGGTTCAGATTAAACCACAAAGGGGGTTCAGCAGAGGGGGCTGGGGGGCCGCCAGGGCCTTCCAAACAGCCGGACAGCCTTCAGGAGAGGACCACGCCTGCCTCCCTTGGCCAGTCATCCGGGAACCCCCGGGGCGGGGCCCCTTGGATTCAGCCCTCCCGGAGGACCCCACCTCCTCCCCGCTGGCCTCTTTCAGGAGCAGGCAGTGTTTGGGAGCTGGCTGTAAAGCACCAGAAAGATGACCTGGGGCTCCCACATCCCAGAGCCTTGGTCTAGCCGCTCCCCTCCCCCTTCCGCAAGATACAATCACTCCAGTGGGCCCCCAACCCCACCTCGGCTCTGGCCCAGGGCTCCCTCATTTATAGTGAGCAAACACACTTCGGTTTGAACTTTCTTCTGTAGCTGTCCCTGAGGCAGACACATCTGCTCTCCAAGTGCGGTGGAGGAACCAGCCGTGGATTAGCCTCCTCCTCCCTCGTCCCTCCCCCACTGCTGGGCTGGTAGGGAGTTTCCTGGAATTTACAGCTTCTGTGCAGGCACCAGAGTGCACCCTCTGCGCCTGATTCCCCAGGGCTGGAGGACAGGAGCTGGGCCTCAGCCCTCAGCGGCAGCCCTGGCCAGCCCAAGGTTCTTGGGTACCAGCCCTGTCCTTTTCCCTCCCACATGCCCACACGCACTCACATGCACCAAAGATTATGTTCTCACATCCTGAGAGACATACTCAAGACAAGGGTCTCTGTACAGACTCCACAGAGCTGCAGGGAAGGGAGGAGGCTGGCAGGTGATGGGGGAGGTTCTCTGGAGGAGCTGGGCAAGGCGGTACACAGCAAGCTACTCTCCTGCGGCTGGCCCTGCCCATCCAGGCTCTGTCCACACTGGGGCCCTTGGGTGCTCGGGCATGACTCGAAATCATGCCTCACGTCAGAGGCCCTTCCTGGCTAAGGGTGTTGATTAAACTCTCACAACTCAGCAGCTACTCCAAGCATTTCATACACCTATTTAAAAGATATTTCTTGAACACCTAATATGTGTAGCAAGGACGGCAGAGCTTAGCACATATTTTAGACATGCTTCTAGGAGACGCTATTCCTTGGATAAGAACATCATGCTTGGAAAGATGGAGGGTCAGAGAAAGAGAGGAAGACCCTCAACCAGGTGGACTGACGCAGTGACCGCTACAATGGCCTTGAGTGTGACAGAGATTGTGAGGTGAGCACAGATAGGCCAGGGTTCAGATCTGTTGTTCACAGGGTTGCTACAAGTCATGCTCGACTTGATGGCACCAGCAACAATACACGCCAAGCGGCCTTTGTGCAGCAGGGGGATTCAGCTGTAAAAAGGACGGAGGAGTCCTGGTCCTGGAGCAGCGGACTGGGTTGGGGGAGAGGAACCATCAGCAGAAAAGCATCATGGCCAGTGGCAATGAGAACCACAAAACCAATGAGCAGATGGTCAAGGGAAAGGAGGAAGGGATGGTATGGTGTCTCTGAAGTCTTTCTAGGCACACCCTGGCTGGTGGTCTGCAGGGGCAGCTAGGAAACTACCATAGCTGGAGGTGAGGACCCAAAGCGCATGTAACCTGGGCATGGCTGCCCCAGTCACCTCTGGCTCAGAGAAAGGCTGTGAGGTCTTCCCGAAAACACACACAAGCGCACCAGGGAGTAAGCAGAAAACAGAACCACTGGGCGTGGTGCTGCGGGCTCCCACACTCAGGCCACCCTCAGCCAGGTTCGAAAACGGTAACAGCAGAGGCCAAAGTTTCCCAGGTATTGAGAACTCCACTAGGATTAACTCCTCTCACCCTCCCCCAGAGGCCCATGAGACAGGTGAGGAAATGGAAGGGGAACCCTGAAGGCCCAAACTCACTCTTCCCACCGCTGCCTCCCCACCTGAAATGCCCGCACACTGGCACACTCCACACAGCCCAGATTCCAAACACAAATGCCTCTTTCTCCACCCATCCCATTCATTCTTTGTATTTCCTCTTAAACACCCGGTCTGCCTGTACCATGAACCCTGGCAGTTCCTCACTAAGCTGCAGCATGTCACACTATTGTGGGTCTAGGCCCCGTCTTTCTCCAGAAGACCTGATTAGGTTCTTTCAAGAATGGGGACCAGGCGGGGTGTTCTCTGAAACCCCTACAAGGCCAGTGAGACTTGTGGAGTCCACAGAGTTGCCTGGCATGCTGCTGGTGTTTAATGAGGTTGAAGCATTAATTTGCCAATTAAGGGCTCGGGTCCCATTGCACACAGTTCTTGAATGGATGTGGACCTCTGGCTGTGGGTGGGCAGCCGGGTGGGTGGGCGCCAGTGAGCTGCCTCCTGTGCCCTCTTCCTGCAGCTGTGAGCCACCCTGACAGGACTGCTGACTGTCCCCTCAAATACGCCCTCCTCCACCCCAGGTTCTGTTTCACACTGACATCACCTTTTGATAAAGAGTATCTAGTGCCCAAATACAGAAAGGGCTTCAGAGCTTATGAGATTCCCTTGCCCATTTTTCAGGCACCCACGTTGGACCTGAAATCTGCCCTAGTGCCAGCTGCCATGGGCACATGGGAATTGGTGGGACCAGGATTGGAACCCAGGAAGTCTGTGCCCAGAACTCTCATCACAGGCCACCTCACCACAATGGAAAGAGCTGGATTCCTTAATGGCAAAGTGTGTCAGGATATACCCAAAGGGAAATCATGGGTGATGAAGCTGGACCCACACAAACACAAGCTTATGCAGACCCAGTCTCTCTTGTCAATAATCTGACACATTTATTAAAATAGCTACTCCCGGCGAGCTCTGGTGGCCTAGTGGCAAGAAGCTGCACCTCAATCTCAGAGGTACATGGTTCGAATCCACCAGATGCTCTGCTGGAGAAGGAGGGACAATCTCCTCCTGTACCAGTCAGATCCGATTTGACGGTACACACACACACACACACACACACACACATACACACACATACACACACACACAATAATGAGATAAAGTAAAAAAAATCTACTCCGACTGTCTCACATACTTCAGGCATGTCATCAGGAGAGGACAAGCCTTGGAGAAAGACATCATGCTTGGAAAGGTGGAGGGTCAGCGTAAGAGGAAGATTTTTGACAGGATGGGTCACATAGTGACTGCTTCAACAGGAGTAAATGAGTTGGGGATGGTGAGGCTGGCTCAGGATAGGGCAAGGCTCTGGGCCATGGTTCATACAGGGTTGCTATGAGTCATCCTCAACTTGATGGCACATAACAACATATTACTTTGGGCATATATTCAATGAACCAGTTCTTGAAGAGAGACTCATGTTCGCAAAGGCAGAGAGAGGGTCAAGGAAAGAAATGAAGACTGTTAAGGAGATGCACTGACACAGTGACCGCGCAATGGGCTTCAACAGGACAGATCACTGAGGCTGGCACAGGATGGGGCAAGATGGTTTGAAGATCTGTTGTTCACAGGGTTACTATCTACTTGATGACACCTAACAACAACAACATGTGCTGGGACCTGCTAGGGACAGATGATTAAGGCAGAGATCTTTCCCTCTAGGATCTCATTTATCGAGGGGAGGGAAGCAGCTAAAAATCCAGATCCTTTTGGTAACAGTTGAGAAAGTAGCTCCCCGCTCTGTGAGTTTCCTGACTGTCCCCATGTTTCGCCACACATATCACAGTTTTGTGAGACACTGATATTTATAAGATTTTTACATCTTGACTGATGCAACATTTAACTAGTGAGAAGTCTATTAAACTCAACTTGTTGTGTACCGTAGAGTCAGAACCGACTCAGAGCTGATCCTCCAGTGGGTTTTCACAGCCAGTTAATCACACGGGAGGAGACTGCCTATTTTTCTCTGGTGGAGCAGCTGGTGGACTTGAACTGAGTGCCTTTGGCATTTCAGCACAGCTTCTTACCACTAGGCCATCAGCGCTCCCAACTTACACAACAATAAAAACCAGCAAGCTTCAACCAACCTCATACAGACAACTTTCAGTACCTGTCAGAGTTGTCTTGCCCAAGAAGCCTTCCTAAGATCCACTTCTGCACAGCCCACATGTGCAGGAAAATCTCCTAACTCTTCAGGGGAGCAAAGCATCCCCAACTGCAGAATAAGTCCTTTCTCCCCACACCCTAAGCCAAGTCCTTCAGTAGGCTAATTACACAGGCAATTATTAGCACACAGTTCAGACCCATCAGTGAGTGCAGAGGGGAACATACACCCCCAGCCCTGAGGGACCTGTAAGAGGTCTCCGTGCAGCCAGGAGAATTCCTGGGCCTTGAGCCTGGGCAGTGACCCAAAACCCCCCTTCACCTGAATGGGGCATATCTCACTTTCCCCTTCTGGAAATCTCACGGGGATTTGGCCCACTAATTTCCCTCCTTTCTGTAAACAAACTCAAACAAAATTTTCATTAGGAAATAGAAGCATGTGTGTAAC